TTATAGAATCACAATACAGGAGTTTGTTGAAAACGTACAGACACATTCTGTTTTGTTTGTGCATAAATGACCCATTTTCAACCCGAACTTTGGTCAGTTTAGCTGTCCCCGTGGTTTTATGCAAAATTGGATAATTTTTGCATAATTTCTGAATATTTTCCTTTATCATTCTTTGTTAAAATTAACAGAATCGCATAATTTCACATTTTAGGGCTCATTTTGCATACTTTCATAACATTTCTTGTCTAAAACGACGGGGACAGGTTTAGCTACCCCTCCTACTTGCTATCTTGTATTCTCTCATGTTACTCTCAATTCCGACCTGTTACTCAAAGATAAAAATTACAACTCAGGTGTTCTGTTGAAAAACACAAACATGCCTTTAGTTTTAACCTCTTTCACTTACTCTATTAAGCATGGACTACCTCCCATTCTAACCCAAACTGTGGTCAGTTAAGATATTGAACACCTTCCTTTCTCTCCTGTTACTTTTTTTATTCTCTCCTGTTACCAAAACCCGGGTAACAGGGGGGAAAGTAACAGGAGGGAATTCTGTACATCAATACCCTGATGACCACTCACTGGGTAGAGCTCATGTTATGGATTGTCTTACCATTAAATGTAACCTTGGCAGACTTCCTAACCAAAAGAGAATGTATCGGATTTCTGTATAATAATTCGTTATAGACCCCGGTAACAGGAGGGACATTTATGCTCAAATACTCACCATGTTGGGTTGAACTTGACTCTGTATCTTTCAATCGCGCATTGCATAAGCTCATCCGTCTCATGTTATATAAAGGAATATGAAGGGAGTCTTCACTCGCAAAATCTCAAAGAAATACATATATATCTAGGGACCATTCATCTGTGTGAAATGCTGGGTAACAGGAGAGAACTTTGAAATGGGTTAAGAAAAATATGGAGATGAAGAGTTAATAAACAAATATAAGACAAGGACGGGCACCAAAATTTGTTTTGCTTCGGCACTGCTATCCAATATTCTGTATAACTGTGAAATATTTAATCCCTGGTGCCATGATTTTTATCCTTAAGCATGTTTTAAAAAACATATACGTGTTGCGGAACTTGCCATTTTTGCCTACAGAGCAAGATTTACAACAGAGCTGTAAAATTTCTATGACTTTGGCAGTTTTGAAAACTTAATTTTAAGGTCAAAGAACATTTTACCTTGTTCATGAACATAGTCAAAGGCAATTCTAAGCAATATTTCATATTGGTATCCAAGGAATTAGGCCTGGAATCAAAAATTCAAAAAATGCGACATAAAAAAAAAAAAAAGACTCATTATATAAAAATATTTTATTGTTTGTTTTAATACGGTTTTACGGCGCTCGCAACTACAGACTATGTGCTGTTGAGGCTAGAGAGGTGTGGAGAGTTAGCCTGATTCCACGTTTGGACTTTTGTGTTGACATCCACCCCTTGGCGCTCACATGACTTATGCAGTTGGGAGGTCCGTAAAGCCTTACTAAAGCTAAGTATAATTTAGTGATCAGATATGTTACCGTCAAGTGTGGCTTGGCTGCACTCAACCAAACTCAAGGCCAGCAGTGGTTTCCTGATAAAACCGGTAAACCCACAAAATTGAGGGTTGGTCGGTTTTATCCAGGAAAATTTGAGCGACGTAACCGTCTAACCCACACAGTTTCATTAAAAGCTATTTTTAAAGGAAAAAAAGGTCTACAGATTTTCGGTAAAGAGTTTTTATAGGTGTTTAAAGCATTGATTTATTGTTAGATGCCTTTGTTTTGAAATAAAACAGTTTTTTCCTTCTCCTGTAAAATTTACCTCGCTGGGGTTAGTCGGTTTTATCACAAAGCCGACGATTTGTAATACTGCGGCGTCCGAAAGAAACTTGAAAATGCAATCACCTAATCATCGTTTTAAAGCCTGCCCACTCATACAGCACACCAATTTAAAGCTAACTAAATTCTGCTTCATCTGACACATTTAAAGAATCGCCCGAGAAATGGTCTCTCGAAGTTTCCCAAAAAGAAATCAGACTTGGCAAAATTGTATAAAATCGAAGAAACGAAAAAGTGTCTTGGCGCCTGCATTGAGGTGCACCAATATTGTTAGAATGAACACATAATGCTTATCAAATGAATGGAGAATTTTGTCTTTGCAATAAACAATAGTTTACTAGTTTCAAAAAGATCAGAAAAGAGGTCAGTCTCAAATACCACGCCAAACATGGAATTAACATTAAATGTGCTCGTCTTCTTCTTCTTCTCGATCGCATCACACTTGGAAGTCTAGTATCTGTCATATATTGGGCCGTCCTGCTCAGTTCATCTATCGGCCCGTATAACCTCTCTTGTAGTGTCAGTGGGGTTGGCCACGTTTCTTATCCCAGGGCCCTGTGTGTCTTGCAGTGCTGAAGAATGTGTTCAACAGTTTGGTCCCCCTCTCCACACTGGCATTTTAGTGATTGTGATGTTGTCTCAGTCTTGTGTGTTGGGTTCTTAGTCGGAAGATAATCACCTGTTCTTGGCGGGGTAGCTATCTGGTGTCTGTGGTGCTTTAGATAGGGTATTTATAATAGTTTTTATTTCTGTGTAGTTAACGCTGTTGTCTGGTTGCTCTTTCTGTGCTACTAGTTTGGCCATCCTGTCTGCCTGCTCATTTCATAAGACTCCACAGTGTGATGGAATCCACTGCAGCATGATCCTCAGACTTAGGATGTCATCAATTACTTCTCTTTGACATAGTAGTTTGCCGGCAGTGATTGCCTGCAGTACTGACATGGCGTCAGTTAGGAATACTACTTGGCTTTGGGGGCCTACCACATTCTTGATGATGTTTGCTGCATGTATTAGAGCCCCCTTCTCTGCCCTGTACTTTGTAGAATGTCACCCTGTTGGGACTGCCTCTTTTTGTCGTCGTCCATTTGGGAACTGTACGTACACTCCGGCTCCTCCTCTTTTCACAGCATCAGTGGCAGATCTGTCCGTATAGACCCTTATCCATGCTTCTCGGGGGTATCTTTTTTCAAGCATGGACCGGGTGAGGGATGTCTTGCTCAGATCGCTGTAGTCATCTTTTATGGTGAACATAGGAATGGACGTGTGTATAATTATGCCTGTGTTTTTCTTTTCCAATGATAATGCCTCTGGGGTGTGGTTCAGCATGTTCACTGTGGCTGGTAAATGGTCCTGTATGGATCTTTGGATTTTTCTGCTTTCTTTGATGAAGTTAGATCTTTTAAGTCTTGTGGTGTTTGATCTGGCTGTTCTTGTGTGCATTATATGATCCTCCATAGCTGTGGGCCTTGGTGTACTGTATGAGGGCCTTGCATTCCCATCTCCTCTGCAGGACCACTATAGATGTTGTTTGTTCTATCTTTTCTATAGGCGAAAGTGATCGTTATTATTTTGTTTAGGATTCATTGGTTTTGTATAGAGCACATCCCAGTTGTCACAGAGAGTTGCAAACAAAAAATCTGAATTGGAAGCAAAGTTGATTTTCTTCAGAGGTTGTTTCATGAGGATTTACCTACCTGTAGGATTCATATGCATGGAGTTTTGACCACTCCAACGTTGGAATTATTCGGTATTCCAAGAATTATCTAGTGGCATAGGACCTGTGGGAAAGTGGGTTATCATGCATGGAGATGTTTTTTAACGATACCATGACGCAAATATGGGTAAGACATGACGTTCTAGCATGCGTGTTGAAGTCTGCTAAACCAAGACATCCGATGATTCTCACGAGGGTGGTTTTGTTCATTCCACCCTAGACTACCCCAAACCATGGCAGTTTCATGGCTCTCATTCTCACTGACAGATGATTATGTATATAATGCGATATGTTATATTCATAAAGTATACACACGCACTCATGCGCGCACACACACACACACACACACACACACACACACACACACACACACACACACACACACACACATATATATATATATATATATATATATATATATATATACATATATATATATATGTAATCATGCTATGTATATAATATTCATTTATTTATACGTATATAATTATATGAAATATATGATATATTATGATGATATGATTATATAATATATATATTATATATATATATATATATATATATATGTGTGTGTGTGTATAATTTATGCATACATCGTCAGCCAGCTCTTAATTTAATCATCACGAAAGTTTGTTGTTGTTTTTTTTTTTTTTTAGCAATTTCTTAACCTGTAGTTATTGGTTGCATGTGTTCAAGAATCAATTTCTCGAAATTGTAATTCTAAATTTTAAAAGAAAGCAAGAAAAAAGTAGACAACTACTGTCTTCACACCATTTTAAGAATTTTTTCAATCTACCTGTCTAGTCAACAGAACGGAAAAAGCTCAGCTTTTCCGGATTCTGCTAGCTTTGAAGGCATCACACTAGAATTAGGTACGAGTGGCCCTGTCAAAAAAATGTTTTACCGTGCATGCAACGACATAAAGTTATGTGAGTGTACATTTTCAGTTTGTGTTGGATTTATTTTGAATTTTGCCCGGGTGGTGGCCGAAGCCTACTCTCATCGAGTTTGAATCACCAAGGGATCTTTAACGTGCGCAAACACTCCCGAGTTTTTTTCCCTTAACCGAGAAGGCAAGGTGTTAGATCTTACATACCCGAAGATCAGGGGTGGAGCTGAAAGACAGCAGTAAGAAGGAGCCAATGAATAGTAGTAGATAAAAAGACTACAGAAAGAGTCAAGAGTCCAGAGGAGGGGGACAAATGGGCTGGGGGGGGGGCAGGAGGTGGAGACAAAAGCAGACGACAGAACATGGCCCTGGTTTGAATCCTATGTGGGACATTTATTGACATTGTGGTGTTTGAGGACCTGTCATTTCTTACCACCTACTTGTCCCTTTCATATTGGAGATAGATGTTTCTGTCGGAGGCCCGCCTTCCAACTAACTTTACCGTATTGGGTTTGATCTTAAAACAGTAGTAGGCAATATCATAGATTCTTGTGTTTCATTGTTTCAGAATGACCTGAACCAGACGTTCCCTGACTTTATCGGGCAAATGTCCAATATGGAAGAGGAGCTGACAAATAGCCAGTGTCTGCTACTTGTTGCGGGTAAGGGGACATGTAGAGTGCTGAGTGGGAGGGGACGGGGGAGGTTGAGAGGCATATTATTCAACAAACTACTGTGAGTCACATGAATTGGAAGGTCAGGTGTCAAAACAACGGTTGGTAGGGGTAAGAAGACGAATGTCTTGGGTTCTGTTCGAAGACAGTTTTACTACTTTGCATTATATTATCATTTCCTTTGTAGAGTCAATTATCTGAATCCAATGAACACGGACAATACCTCGACTTAGTCAGTCTATGCGTCGACGATTTGAAGATGTGAACTACGCAAGATGCCATCACACTCGTTTCTGAAGCTGTTGCTTTTCGTTTAGACAACTGAAAAATGTAGGTTCAAATTGGGAGATAAAAAAAACCCATTCTTCTCTTGGCACTCAACGTGCTTCCCTTGTTGTAAAATGAAGGCAATGGCTTGTCTCACATTTTCAGACATACTTAATATGTATTTATAAAGATATTGCCTTATTGTATACATAGAGGATGTCTGTGCTCTTGCCAATGTGGTTGAGATGAGTGACACGCTAAGCAAAAGAGAAAAACGAGATGGGTCAACCTAGGGTCTTCAAATGATCTTTTGGTTTTAAGATTATTCGTGATTGTCTTACTTCACTCTGCACTTTTTAAAATATATAATTACTTGCATTGAAGATGTGATATTCACTTGGGCTGATCTGTGGATTGATTTGGATGCAAGCCTCCATAACATCTTAAGTATCCCGATCGGGAAAAGTTCTACAGTGAGTGCACTGGAAAAGTGTAAACGGCTTAATTATCGTCAAAAGGGAGTGGGCTGGCTGCTGATCTCATGAAGTCTAAAAGTCTACAGAAGTGGGTGGTAAAACTGATACTTTTTTGCTTTTTATGGTTTATGTTTGTTTGACTTTCTTATAGCACTTAATACCCTGCCACTCTCATGTGTCCCTATTACAAGTCATAGTGAAGTTTAATCAATTTCTGATTTTTTAATGTGTTATGTCTTATGTTGTTGGAGACAATATTATGAAGTGAGGGCCACACGAACTCCCCAGGTGAGTTGGGCGCTGGGAAGAGCAGCGTTGTGAACCTTCTCCTAGGGCACACAATCATGCCTACCAGTGAACTCAGATGTACTGCCGCTATCGTGGAGATCTCTTACGGCGCCTCGCCAAAGGCGATCATCACCTGGAAAGACGACAGCTCCGGACGCTCCATTACCCCTATCGTGGTAAGAAAATGCCGACCGGGAACTACTTAAAAAATGAATATTTGGCGCTTCTCATAATAAATAACCGTAGATGTTCACGGAATAATACACGCAGAAGACAATTTTAAAATGAATAGGCGTCTGTAATATTTTTCTCCTTTTTTTCAATGCCAAAACAATCTACATATATGTAATAAGTAAAAAAAAACCTCATTAACGTGACACGTGGCGGGGAAAAGCAGGCCTCATATGGAGAAAGATAGATGAGAAAGAAGAGCAGGGTTAACAATGATCAAGCAGTGTTTTTGCTGTGTTCTAGAAAGGCTTTTAGCCTTGCAGTAAACGAAACAACACGACCCCAAATCACACAAAGGAGATGTACTATTGAAAACGCTTGGATCATTCGGTTGGGATGTATACCTCACAGCCAGGAATGACCCACACAGGGAGGGAACAAGTAAGAGCTCTATAGTCCTGTCCTTTTCCGCCCATTTTTGAGGGTAAGAAAAGTGATTTTCTTGTACATGTAGACATTGTAATATATAACAAAGAACGCCAGAGGAAAGGGGGGGGGGG